CAGCGGGTCACAGCTTTTTTTGTGATGACTCGAAAAGCTCTACCGTTAAGACCGCTCTCCTCGGCAAAGTTTCCATGCAGGCCAGCGCGTTCTTACGCTCCGGGGGAGGCAAGGTATGGCCTGTGGTTCTTCACAGTCATTGAATCAGAATGAAATGAAAAAACAATACAATCGTAGGAATCAAGTCGCATTCTTTAAGAACGTTGTGCGTATATATGAGTAGCTCACAGGAGAATGAAGAAGGAATGGCATGAGAGGAAGTGCAGCACACACTTGGGACTGCTGCTGTTTGGCTGTTTCCATCAGGGCTGCAGTCTGAGGCGAACCACACTGCGAGTGCATTACGACAAATCCAACCCCCGTCCCAGTGCATTCTTTGCATCCTCGGGCGTAAATTGTCGTCTGACATTTGACTTATTGACGGCTCTGTTTTGCAACGTTACTCACTCGGATGTTAGCTTTGTTGCAACAGCAAGATCGTGACTGGATGTTGGTCCTTTTCGAGTACTTTCAGCAGTTTGTGTGCCGCTCTGTAGTGCAGTATCTTGTGAATGTGTGTGCGTGTCAGTGTATGCACTACACACGCACACACGCCCGCGTGCATGTCCGTAGCTTCTCTGGAAGACTGGGGCAGCTGCCAGCGGCCCTCAACAGCGTCCACTGCCAATTAGTCCCTTTTTTTATTTGTTTAAGTTCTGCTGGACCAAGACGCAGCAGTTAGACATTCCATGCAGTGCCTCTGGGCCGCTCCTTAAAGCTGCAGAGGATGTTCCTGATTGAAGTTCACATGAGATCCCTACTGTTTCCACTGTGTTCAGTGTTTACCACATTTGAACCACCGATTCGTTGGAGGAGTCGGTCTGACGATGATCAGCGCAGCCGCACACGATCTCGATCGGAGCATCATCCAGTCTCTGCACACCGAAGAGAGAATGGCATGACATTTTGTACGTGTGTGTGTGTGTGTGTCCAGTAATGTGTAGCCCCTTTGTTTACACCAGCTTGTTTTGTGTGGGCTATCGCAGCGTTTCTGCCAAAAAGGCTCCCGTTGATTATTTGTACATTTTTATTTAGGCTTTAATGAATTTGGACGTTTTTAAGGTGCATTCGCTCTGGCGGAGTGAATGAGCCCATTGATGGAGCATGGCAGGCCTGCTACTTGCAGAAATGAGTGTGGGACTGTGGGTCAATGCTTTGGCACGGCGAATAACAGCCTCAGCAATAGAAGCTTTGTCTCTATCTCTGCTGGTAGCGCTGCGCTGCCCCGGGCCCTGTTCCACCAGCTCCTCCAGGGACCGCAAGGGCTAATCTGCCCCCCTTGGAGCCCCCCTCCCCCCACACACACACAGACACACACACACACACACACGGGCCGGCCAAAGGTCTATAATTCCGTACAGTGAAGAGGTGTGGACCTTTTTGTTTTAGAAGCCAGGAAACAATATAACCACACTGTTGACCTGCAACTGGGTCAGCAGCCAAGTAGTGAATTTCCTTTCCCACAAAGGTTGAGCGGCCCGAGCAGAGCCTGAATGACGGACTGTTGTTCTCTGGCTCTGGTGCAGTGACGTCTCATCCCGGGTCTGTAGTTTTTAAACACGTAGATGTATTTAGCTCCAAAAAGTGGTGTGTGAAGTTGAGCACTTTAAAGGCCTCGTTTGTAGACTTGATCTGTTGGAGGGAGATGGAAAAAGCTTTACTGGAGGCAGCAAGATTTGCTCTAAACATGTAATCTGAGATGTAACAAACTGTCCTCTGGTTCACATTTAGAGGCTCTCCATGCTGCCTTTTGTGCTTCTTAATTTTAAATGAAATTCATCCCACAGAATTGCTTGTATTGTAAAAGACCCCCCAAAACAGCATCTACTGATCCAGAATAGGTTTGTAACAGTATAGCGACATCACCGTATTCTATCGTATTAAAATTGAAGGTTATAATACCATGTACATGTGCATATTGAAAAGAAGCTGTGTGTGAGAGTTGAAAGTACAGACAGGACCAGTCTGGCTGGGCTGTCACACACATACAGTATTGTAGTTAATTTAACATGCTACAGTGGCGCTAACATGTTTTTGTTATATCACATGTTATAGTTGCATGCTATTTTTATGAGGTTTATAATTCTTTCCTTTAAAGGGAAAGTGATATTATCAATAATGATATTGATAATAATAGTAAGTGTTATACTGTTGGTTATCGTATTGCAGAGGACCAACCAGCAGGATCCTATTGACCCAGAGCTGCGTCTGTCTGAGGTCAATTGTGGAATAGCCTCCACTACTGTAAGCTATTTTAAAAAAATGTTCCTTTTAGCGAGATTCCCCGAGTGAATTTGTTTCTGCTAAACAGTTACGCAGTGTATATGTCTAGGGCTTTTATTGTGAAAGGTAAGAACGGAAGGAGTGGATCTGGTCTGCGCTGCCTTTTGTCAAGGTTGAAAAGACTAATAAAGTTTGTCGTCTTGGTTCTCGGACTCTGGAGCCTCCCTATTGTTGTGCGCTATAGTGAATGTTTTGAATACGTCCGTGATTGGTTGATGCCTTTTTTCGCGGTGCGAGTGCTTGTTCTGGAAAAAAAGAATTCTGATGCATGAAAAAGGCGACCCCCGGTGTTTAAAGGCCTCAATCCACATCCAGATGTTGACGAGTTCTCTCTTTCACATAGGGGCTTGATGGTAGCTCAGACATAAAAAATACATCTCCTTCTTTCTATGGTCGATCTCTGAGTTCTGCCTGGCTTTACCTTCCTACTGCCCGCTGAGGGCCGCTCAGGTTGAGCACGCCCTCCGATCACTCAGCCCCTCGGTGGCTCAGGTCTCTCTGCGTTCAGGCTCCTCCTTTGCAGCTGGCGCCCTGCTATAGACAGTAGCCGAGTGGCTCCTCCTCCTGTTATCAGCCACAGCTTCATACAGATGCTCTGCAGAGCCGATTTACGACTCTTCACTTATGCCATTACACATCCTCACAGTTTAGATAAGACAGAAGCGCAGCTGCTCGGAAAAATACTTTGTCTTCCTGGTAGAAATCTCGGCCGGTGGGACTTGAAGCTCACTTCCCTCATCATTAAACTGTTCTTTCAGGTATTTCAGACATCAAAATGTACTTCCTCTAATGCGACGCAATTGTCGTCGAGAGGCTTCTCACTTGTTTCCCTCACACTGCCTTGATCCCCACAGAGCAGAACACAGGGCGTGTGCTTTGTGTGTCACAATGTTTTGAATGGCGGATCCGAACCTCCCACAGGAAGATGTTTCCAAAGAGTGCGGTCAGAAGAAAAGTGTGGAATAACACAAAGGCATGGCTGTCATGCACTTAGGCTTTCAAGTTCTCATGGCCGCTCTGTTCTGCGACACTTTTGTCTCTGTATTTCCTAGGCCCTTGACGTAGTCGGGTAACGGTTGGAGAAGGGAGCTTGTACCTGGAGGCATGCCGGATGGAGACTAACTTCTTTTAAAATCCCTGGGTCAGAGCCTCGGCTGCTGCAGTGAAGTTGCGCGGTGGCTAGTAGTGTAATAGTGCAGTTGCCTTGGCCAGCTCCGAGGTGTGAGTATAGGTTATGTGTAGAATGTGGAGAGGAAACAGTCGAGCACAACTGTCAGTGAACACTTACCATTCACTCATTTATTCTCACCAGGCAGCGTTTGAAACCGACATTTTGACAGTTTATTAGGTACAACTTGGTAAAAATGAAAGCCGTGTAATACAACAGCCCTGCGATAATACTACCGTGTTCTAATATTTTTGTCCATCCAGTCAATTTCAAGGAGGCTAGACTAAATATTAGAAATGCATCCCAGCATAAATCATAAGATTATTAATCATCACACTTCAAGCTTGTAGATTGTGCCTGTCGGAGCAGCGTGTCACAGCAGCACATCACAGGAAGGGAGGTTTTGGTGGTTGGCAGTTGAACAGACAACAGTTCAAATCGGGTTAAATATAACCCGGTTTCATTTCAGTGGTTATAGAACACTCCTGTAATTGTTTCTGGATTTTCTGATGATTACGTCGATGATTATTTGCTCATTTCTGGTCAAAAAAAGATTGGAAAACCAGTGTTAAGCCATTCACATCACTGGTGAGCACTGGGTTTATCTGAATGCAGATGTGGGGCCAGTTAGACATGACAAAAAGGACTTGGGTCACTTAACAGTCCTGTCAGAGCTCAAACACATCCACAAAGAATGTTGTAGAGCTCGAACAGGAAATGTTTTCTCGAATTAAAAGTCCTCAGCGCCCCACTTTTGTCTTGCTTCTAAACATGAACTCAATCTGTTGACGGGTTCCACTGTGTGTGCAGAAAGTTTGTTGGTCGGCCCTTTGGAAAAGCCTTTCCTCTGGTTGATTCAGGGTTAAGGGATAAACATCGTCCCACATTCCTGTGTGAGACTGGGGCAAACACAGTTTACAGCCCTGCGGCTCTATCTCCGTGCAGTGTCAGAAATCATCACAGATTCTCAAGGATCAACTGTTCTGCAGATCTGCCTTATGCTGGAGCTCAACAGATCTTTACACTGAGATGTTCCTCCAGAGCACACTACTGTTCGCCCCCCGCTGTCCTTAATACGCGAGTGTTGATGTTGAGATCGATTGGAAAGGCTGGTTTCCAGTCGTCAGTCAGAGGTGGTTTCCTCCCTCTGCTACTCTTTTATTAGGGAGCGCTGTGTGGAGGAGGGCTTCTCAAATGAATGCCATGTATTCTCGTTGAGGATCCGTGAACTTTTGTTTTGAAAGCTCCCCAACCATAATGAAATCGACAACCCTCAAATGTCTGACGGATGTCTTGTAGAGTGGACTTGCAGTAGACCACATTGGCTCCTTCTCTGCCACTTGGACATTTTTTAGTAGTAACAAAACGCAGACTTCTCCAGCTCATGTTACTTTGGGAAGATTCCCTTCCGACTAGACGGAAAAATTACACTCTGCGTATGTTTTTTTTTTTTTTTTACAAAAGTCATATGCAGGGAACTTTCTCATCGGATGCTTTCCTTTGCTTTTAGAAGATGTTCAAGATGAAGGCGGTTTGCTGCCACGACTGACGCCCCAGCGCGCTGAACAGAACGAGCAGTCCTGACCTGGCAACATACGAATGGCCCAGGGAAGCCACCAGATTGACATTCAGGTTTTGCATGACCTGCGCCAGAAGTTCCCTGAAGTCCCCGAGGGTGTTGTCTCCCAGTGTGTTCTGCAGGTGGGCGAGTTCAAACATCTTGACTCCAGAGGTGTATATGTGTCGATAGTACTAGTAAGAAAACCACGACATGGATTATTGACATATTATTATTAATATCCCGCACTGTACATATCTTGGTCACAACATTACCAAGATGTTGGTATCATCATTTTTGATAAGATCTGTTAAATGTTATGGGTTTATGTATTAAAAAAGAGAGAAATATAGAAGATATATTCTCATCAAATTTTGTAATTTTTCAATATTAACGTCAATATCAGACTGGGCTCAGCTGGGCTCTACTGCTAAGTGGTGGTGTAACGGACCACTGTCGATCCGTACGGATCCCCCCTCACGGTTCAGCACACGTGTGAACTGCGGATTAATTACACAGTTTAATATTAACCATCACAGTGTGTAATAAAGTTTTACTGACATCGTTATCCGCCAATATGTAGTAAAATATGCCATCAGGACGTCGGCATTTATGCTTTTCTAGTCGCTCTGATGATGTTACATGTAAACAACTAATCCGAGTTTAGATTGACACGAGGAGAACGAAGGTCCGTTCAGGCTCTGATAACAAGCCAGTTTGGAATGCTTTTTATTTGATGGTGGATCGGTAATGATTAAAAACAGGTATGAATCTTTAGGATTCTCATCTGAAACACTGATATTGCATAATAAACTGATTTCCTCTCTGTCTCTCCTACAGAACAACAACAATTTAGACGCCTGCTGTGAATACTTGTCCCAGGTCAGTCCGGGCTACCTGTACAGCGAAGAAGGAAACCTCGGCTTCACCGACGACCCCGGCTTCATCAGGCTTCGTAATCACATGACCCAGCTGAACCTGGGCCTGCAGTCTCAGAATGTGCACGCGGCCCCGGTCCGGGACGGCCTGAGAATGAACGGCAGTCGAACTCTGGCCCACAGCCTGAGCGAGGGGCCCCTCAAGAAAGGCCAGGCCCCCAACAGTGACTTCTTTCAGCCGGAGCCCCAGTCAGCCCCAGTGCAGGTGCCCTCCAGCATCAATGTGTTCGGTGGGATGGAGCCCACACGGAAACCGCAGCCTCCACAGCACCTCGGACTCTACCCTCTGGGTGTCAAAGGGTCCGCTATGGGTGTCCAGCAAGCTCCGCGCTTCAACCCCATCACCGTGACGCTAGCGCCCCATATCCAGACGGGCCGCAACACACCCACTTCTTTGCACATACACGGCGGTCCGCAGCAGGGCCTCGGCAGTCCACAGGGTAACTCTATCTACATCAGGCCCTATGTCAGCCAGTCTGGTACGACCCGGCAGAACCAGCAGCAGGGAGGCAGGGCCCAGTACAGCCCCACCTCCCAGCACCAGCAGCAGATCTACCAGATCTCACACCCCTCCTCCCTGTCCGGCTCCTGGTCCAGCCCTCAGCACGCCGCCTCCTCGCTTACCTCACAGCACCTGACACAGGGCCACCAGACCTCTCACGTCTACATGCCGATCAGCTCCCCCACGAATCCCCAGGCGCCCTCCATCCTCCCCGCTGGCAGCCTGGCCTCTTCCTCCGGCGTCTCCTCGTGCTCCTCTTCCTCCTCCTCCTCTGTCATGCCCACCTCCCTGTCTACCATCAGCCAGTACAACATCCAGAACATCTCCACTGGCCCGCGGAAGAATCAGATAGAGATCAAACTTGAATCTCCCCAGAGGAGCAACTCCACAACCACGACTGCCGTGCTGCGGACAGGCGGCGGGCCCCGGTCCTCCTCCACGTCGTCCTCCTCTTGCCCTTCCCCTTCCCCCTGTTCAACCGGGGTGGCCACTGTCCCCAGCACCCCTCTCTCCATCGGAGGCCCAGGTCTGAGCCGCAGCCAGCCCACTGTTTACATCTCTGCCAGCCCGCCCACTGCTGCTCCCGCTCCCTCAGAAGATGCCGTCGTGGCCTCAGCCGGCTCCCGCTCTCAACCCAAGTTTTACATTTCTGCCAATGCCTCCAGTGACGACAGTGGGGGTAGGAACCCCCCCACAGTCTACATCTCAGCCAACCCTCCCTTGCAGGGGCCCTCAGGGGCCAGGAACATGGGGGGCCAAGTGAGCATGGGCCCCGCGTACATCCACCACCATCCACCGAAGTCCCGCACCTCTTTAGGAGGGGGAGGCACGGCTTCTTCCCCGCGCGTGGTGGTGACACAGCCCAACACCAAATACACTTTTAAAATCACCGTGTCCCCCAATAAGCCCCCGGCTGTGTCCCCCGGAGTCGTGTCCCCTACGTTTGAGCCCAACAACCTCCTCAGCCTACCCTCAGACCACCACTTCGTGGAGCCAGACCCCCTCCACCTCTCAGACCCGCTGTCGCCACACAGGGAGAGGCCGAGCGAGCCGCGCAGACTCAGCATGGGCTCCGACGATGCAGCGTACACACAAGGTGAGCAATGCCGAGTCATCACTCTCATCCTTACCCCAGTCTTTATGCCCTGAGAGAGACAGATGACCAAAAATAAATAAATAGAAATAAAAACACCACTTTGCAAAAATACATTGCAAAGTTTGCGGAGACATTTCTGTCTTGTTAGAGCGATTTGTTTCACCGTTTATTGGTTGTTTAGCAAATGTCAAGTGTGTTAAGAGTGCACAGTGCTGAGGGGAAAAGACCAGTTCTAAGACCTGGTAGTATGTAGTTGTTTTTTTTTGTTTGTTTTTTGCTACCAGCGGTCAAATGCTTTTTCCATCGCTTCCTGCCAAGAAAGTAATTTTACTACAAAGTGTACTGTGTGATTTACAAAGTCTCTTTCCACAACACTGACTGTAATGTGCTTCTTGAGCCAAGCTGTGTGTACAAATGTTCAGTCGCTGTAGAAAACACCGCTCTGCATGCCGTCTCTGTGAAGTAGACTAAAAGTTACGGTGACTCGCTTGCTGAGGGCCGGTGCGATGACGTCGGTGTGAGTCCTCCACGCTACACGCAGCGTTTGCTCCGACGACCCCGGAGACTGATGGATTCTGTGGTGTGAGTCAAACGTGTCGGAGCACACTGCTGTTTCCTTTTTTGGGCTTTCGACTGGATAACGTGTGAGTCACCGGCTGTGGCTCCTGCTCGGTGGTGACTACCCCCAAGAGGGGCTTCACACCGTCCTCTGCTGATGACCCTCATCAGCCCCACTTCCCCCCGCCCTGACTTTACCTGCTCTGGCTTGGAAAAATGCACATCGACAACCAAAACTGTACCTGGTGGAGATGCACCTGTCACCACTTAACTGTTAATTTCATATGAATTGCTGATGTTAACATACACCAAGCCACCGTTCACACCAGGTCTGTAGCTGTTACTGTTTGGCAGCAGAATAACGTTATTATAATTACATAATGTTGAGGACCCGGTTCTGATTGGCAGGCGAAGGCATTTGTTGGAGCAAAGGTTAAAGAAAAAGGTTTTATTTCTCTGTAGAGTCCTATCCATAATGTTGCCAGATATTTAGAACAACAATCTGAGCCTGTAAGTGGACACACATTGACGGTGAGGAGCTGCCCCGAGCGATTTCATGACAGCATGTTTAGCAGCTGCCGTCCGCAGCATTCTCCCTCAATAATGAACCAAAATCCAAAATTGTTGTTGTCCCCATTAGTCACTAAGACACAAAAACATGGGAAAATAGAGTCCAGGTTGAAAAATACTGAAGTTACCCTTCAAGCCAATTTGATGAATCAAATAAAACTGAATGTGTATTTGTTATTGTGGGTTCGTAACCTCACGCAGCCAAACAACATGTTGTGAGCTCAATTTAAAAGTTTTTTAAGAAGTGATACACATAGTCATATGTTTACCCGATCATTCAAACAACAATAAAAGTAGGACTTGCTGATATAAATTTATTTGTTCTCTAACTGCTTCACCTATTTGTCTGCCTCATTTTGTGGCTAGTTTAGGAGAAATTCGACCGGTTGATCTACTCGGGTAAAAATAAAGAAGAGAAACAGTCCGTCACCTATTTGTACAGCTTACTTGAAATAACAGAAGAATATTGGGATGGGTTTGCCAAGAAGGAGGAGAAGCTCAAAACGGTATCGTTATCGCTTAATAAACACAACAATATGTCCAAAAAACCAAACGATTCGACCCCAGCGCCTGTGTTTGATCAACAGAACACGATCTTCCCGTGAGTGGAGAGGTGGCCTGTTTGTGTGTATCAGGACAGAGAGCGCTGTTCGTCATCGAGCGTCTGCGTGGGAGGAGTTACGACCTGTCAAACGCATGCAGGAACTCTAATGAATTATGGGAAACGTGCTGTAGAGACTTGAGCAGAGCATGTGTGGAAGGTTCTGTATTAAACACCGCTTGCCTGCAGCATTCCTCTAAACCGGGATACGTCTGATCTCTTCACGTTCCCACAACGCAGGCCAATAGACGACAGAGAGGAGTCTGATGTAGTTCCCCCGTCTCTCCTTACACAGCGTTGTTGTTATGCTCCAAACTGGTTTGACTGGTGATTCTGAAGATGTGTCAGTACTGTATGTCCTCAGCAATCATCCTCAAAGGGATTTTCTCCATATCGTATTCTTTGAATTTCTTTAACCTCTTGTGATTATGTGTCACACTAAATTATGTGTACGTATTTTCAGTAGCTGTTTGCCACTGAATGAATGAATGAATGTAGCGCAGAGGAGACAGCTGATGTCAGTGTGTGTGTGTGTGTGTGTGTGTGTGTGTGTGTGTGTGTGTGTGTGTGTGTGTGTGTGTTCTGCAGCGTTGTTGGTCCATCAGAAGGCCCGCATGGACAGGCTGTGGCATGAGCTGGAGCTGAAGAAGAAGAAGCTGGAGAAGCTAAAAGAGGAGGTCAACGAGATGGAGAACGACCTGACCAGGAGACGGCTGGAGAGATCCAACTCGGCCTCCCAAATTCCTTCTGTAAGCTTCATTCAGTGATCTTTAAAGATGTTCCTGTGATTATCTTTTTCATTTGGTAATGACGGTTACATACAGACAGGAAGTGGTATTACACCCCCCCCC